CACGGGGCCCAGGGCTGCCCTTGAACCCACCTGAGACCACCACGGGGCCCAGGGCTGGTCCCCCCCCATCCACCTGAGACCACCACGGGGCCCAGGGCTGGTCCCTCACCATCCACCTGAGACCACCACGGGGCCCAGGGCTGGTCCCTCACCCACCTGAGACCACCATGGCCATGACCAGGTCTGCGTGGGCCGAGCGGGAGCTGATGATGTGCTGCTGCAGCAGGAACTGAGCCACCTCCACGATGTTGTTGAAGGAGCGTTTGAGGATCTTCTCGGCCCAGTCGCAGGTCAGGGCACAGGCGGCCTCCATCACCTCGCTGGGGTAGGACTGCACCAGCTCCGACAGCTCTGACTGCTGTGGGGGCACGGGATGGGATGGGAGACCCCCCAGGGTACAGGGCAGGACCCCCAGGGCAGGGGCTGCCTCCATCACCTCGCTGGGGTAGGACTGCACCAGTTCTGACAGCTCTGACTGCTGAGGGGGGATGGAATGGGATGGGATGGAATGGGATGGGAGACCCCCAGGGCACAGGGCAGGACCCCCAGGGCAGGGGCTGCCTCCATCACCTCGCTGGGGTGGGACTGCACCAGCTCCGACAGCTCTGACTGCTGTGGGGGCACGGGATGGGATAGGATGGGATGGGATGAGAGATCCCAAGGGAGCAGTCAGGAGACCCCCAGGACCCCCAGGGCAGGGGCTGCCTCCATCACCTCGCTGGGGTAGGACTGCACCAGCTCTGACAGCTCTGACTGCTGTGGAGGGATGGAATGGGATGGGATGGGATGGGAGACCCCACAGGAGCAGCCAGGGGACCCCCAGGACCCCCAGGGCACAGGGCAGGACCCCCAGGGCACAAAGCAGGACCCCACAGGGCACAGGGCAGGACCCCCCAGGACCCCCAGGGCACAGGGCAGGACCTCCTAGTAAAAGGACAAGACCCCCAGGGCACAGGGCAGGACCCCCAGGGCACAGGGTAGGACCCTCAGAGTGCAGGGCAGGACCCCCCAGGACCCCCAGGGCACAACGCAGGACCCCCAGGGCACAGGGCAAGACCTCCAAGGCACAGGGTAGGACCCCCAGGCACAGATGGGACCCCCCAGGGTACAAGGCAAGACCCGCAGGGCACAGGGCAGGACCCCCCAGGACCCCCAGGG